TAGTCTTGTATGTGGATGACATCTTACTCGTTAGCAGTGATGTCAATCTACTACTAGAAACAAAGAAGTTCTTGTCCTCAAAGTTTAATATGAAGGATCTCGGTGAAGCTTCGTTCGTCCTAGGAATATAGATTCACCGAGATAGAGAAAAAGGGTTTTTAGTATTATCACAAAAGACATACTTAGAAAAAATTCTAAAGAAATACAATATGCAAAATTGTAAGTCATCACCTGCTCCCATAGTCAATGGCGACAGATATGGGAAATTTCAATGTCCCAGAAACTAATATGAGATCGATCAAATGAAAGCGGTTCCATATAGTTCAGCTGTCAGAAGTTTACAGTATGCTCAAATGTGTACTTGCCCTGACTTAGCATATGTTACTGGGTTGCTTGGCAGATATCAGAGTAATCCAGGAATAGAACACTGGAAATTAGTAAAGAAAGTTTTGTGTTACCTATAAGGTACGAAGGGTCTCATGCTAACGTACAGAAGATCTGATTCCCTGCACATAGAGGGGTATACAGATTCTGATTATGTAGGAGATGAAAGAAAGTCCACGTTAGGATACATATTCACTCTCGTAGGAGGAGCTATATTATGGAAAAGCTCAAAACAAACTGTCACTACATCGTCCACAATGTATGCTAAGTTTATAGCATGTTATGAGGCCACAAGGCAGGTGAATTGGCTAAAGAAATTCATGTCCGGGTTGAAAGTGGTAGATGACATACATAAACCACTCAAGTTATACTACGATAATAATCTAGCAGTATGTTATGCTCACAACAATAAGTCAAGTGGTGCTGCCAAACATATTGACATAAAGTATTATGTTGTGAAAGATAAAGTCTAGGATCATATAATTAGTCTTGAGCATATAAGAACAGAAAAGATACTCGCGGATCCACTTATAAAAGGCTTACCACCCAATGTGTTCAGAGAACACATAGCCGGCATGGGTTTAAGGGAAAGCCTATGATTTCTGGACAGTAAGAGCCTAGTTAAGAATATGTTTCAAAATAGAGAGGTGTATTGTAGCTGTTTAATTTAATGGCAAGAGATCGTGACGATGAGGCACGCTTTATGCACTGATCTGTGATGGAATGGGAACAAAAGAAAGTAAGTTAAGTTTAAGTTATAAGTGAGATCAAGGGAGATAATGTTAGTTGATCTCCACCAATTGGCCCAACGACCAATTGGGCCCTTAGATCCGTGCCCTGATCGGGGGCGCCCAACCCTAATATGATTGGTGGGCCCCGTCGTACAGCGTCATAAATAGGAGGTGGGGGCTAGGGCGCTCGAGTCACGAGGTTCGCCCTAAGCCGCCTAGCACCCCACCTACAGTCCTAAACCCTAAACGATCACAGAGGGGGTGCTGCCAGCGACGGGAAGCGCCGCCACCGCCTCTACATCTCGTTGAAGGGCTGCTACGGCGTCGGGCTGCCCTACAACCCCTACACTGACCCCTAGACGACACCGCTATTGCACCATCACCCTTCACCAACAAGCACCGCAATGGTGAGGCCGTCTTCCTCCAAGGCTGCCGATGGTTTGCACCCCCTTCACCCTCTCTCTCTCACTCTATCTCTTATCCCATACTAGTAGATGTTTTAGGGCTCGTTGTTTAGTCCAAAAGCAAGTAGACACGCTAGATCTATGGCTAGTGATCCTATTTTAACTCTATCACCTCATTCCATTTCATCCACAAAGGTACATTGTGTTCAACATCCGTACAGGTAACGCGAAGCTTCGTGGAGTAAAAGGAGTACAGGAGAGAAGCGAAGGGTCATTCTAGAATGGCATGATGATGGAAATCCCCTAAAGAATTCTACACGAGATTCAAAGGTTCCCGTGAAGGCCCCGAAGATACATGGCAAGCATGGAGAGAGGAACTTTCAGTTTTCCCCAAAGGGTCAAGACACACCACGGACTAAAGACACGAAGAGCAAAGCGAGTGGGCACCACGGAGCCCGCTAATTCTAGCAGAAGATCATTGTGCCCCTTGTGAGCATCTAGGCCCCTCAAGTAAGTGGTTTTGGTGGTTAATAACAACTCTAATTTGGTGACTAACGTGTGTTTTGGAGAAACATGTTACTGTCATGTCACATAGCATGAAGATGAAGAAGTGTCCTTAAGCATTAATGAAGAAGCAAATTGAGCACAACTTGTCATGTGTGGCTAGCAAATGGATTGGAGATTCAAGTGTTAATGCGTTGAGCCACAATGTATGAAGGTGAAGACATCCCCAAGTGTTGATGACAAGATGATCAAGAACCCAGGATTAAAGATGAAGAGCAATCAAGAGTCAAGCAAAGCAATCGAGGACTCAAGATCAAGTGGATCATGGAAGAGTCAAGTATTCCAAGTGAAAACTCATGGTTAAAGACTTTTCAAGAGTTAGGATCCCCAATAAGAAGGGGATTCGAGTATGCAAAAGCTCGACCAAGTGTTCAATGTGCATGGTGGTGAAATCTTGAACAAGAAATGGTCCAGAGAGCTTGGTTGTGCAATAAAAAATCCAACAAAACAAGTTTCGCCTCAATCATAGTTCAAATGAAGAAGTTAGATGTAAAAGCAAAATAGAGTGCTTTTAGTAGACAATCCAACGGCGAAGAAATTACAAGCATCGGGGCATTGGAGAGTGGAGTCTGACCAATGTCTGTCTGTAAAAGGAATTGTGTAAATGAATGCACCAGACAGTCCGGCCAGGACAATTTGAGTGCATGAAACAATCATGGTCACAAGGACAGGAGCTAGGGTTTGCTTAAGACTCGATAAAAGTGACTTGATCGATCTGGTAGGCTAGGTGAATTGTGAGTGCTTGGGACTATTGGCGAGACTAGAGAGGTGTTTGACTATTGAAGACTCGCTATGCGTAAGTATGTTCAAGGATAGTCTGCCAAGAGAAGAATGTGAACACTAGATAATGTCACGACGATGATGTCATCTAGCCATTAAAGTGTCAGAACTAGCCATTGGAGGTGTGTTGTGCAAATGAATGCACTGGACTATCCGGTCAAGGCTTGCAGACTATCCGATCTATGTATTCCTTGGGTGATTGTTAGAGCACTTTTGGCATTGTTTGCTAATGGTTCTCTCCCAAAGTTTGGGCTATAAATACCCCCTCCCCAAGGGATCTTCCTGGTGCCTTTTGGCCATGAGTTTAGTAGAGGGGGCTATGGAGTTTAGGGAAAGGAGTATATGTGAGGATCAAGTATGCGATGTAGTGTGTTAGGGCCATGTGTTGGCACGAGACACACACATACGAGACCGATCTTCCTAATTAGAGGTGTGAGGCAGCCATGAGAGCTAAGGTTTGTGAGCTAGAGAGCTTGAGATCATGTGTGATATTACGGTGAAGGTAGTGTTTTCATGGTGGCGACCCTCGAAAGGGTGATAAGTGAAAGGACCATGACGCCTAAGAGGGGGTGAATTAGGCTACTTAAAACTTTATTTCTAAACTATGGCCTCTAATTTCAACCTAAGCAAAACATATGCAATAAATAAACTATCTAGATGTGCAACTAAGGTTTTGCTAGGTATGTTGCTATCTCTACCGCAAAAGAGCTATGCAACCTAAGTTCCAATCCTATCAACTAGCCTATCAACTAAGCTAGGAAGGTAAAGCATACAACCAATGTACCCAATGTAAATGCGGAAGGTAAAGGGCCATAGAGATGCAAACTCCGGTTTGATGATGCCAGTATTTTTACCGAGGTATCGAGAAGCATGCAAGCTTACCCCTAGTTCTCGTTGGAGCCCCTTACAAGGGCCAAGCTTCCGGTCGTGTAACTCGGTGGATAGCACTGGGCCTTCCCCACGTGCAAGTGTGTCTCTAAAATGCCTCTTTTCGGACCGCTCCTCGCTGTCTTCACTATCAAACTTCCAGCCGAACCGCCGTGGGCTTCATTCCCTTCAGTACACGGTGGCGGCCACACCACAAACGTGGTTGGTGTGGTCTCGTAAGACTACTAGCCTCTCCGGGGTAGAACAATGGTGCGCGCAAGAACCGAGTGGTAAGAGGTACGCAAACCTCACTAAACACTGGGCCTAAACATAAAGCAAGCGCATAAGCGGTGGTCTAACTAGCATAAGCACTTCGCAAAGCACCTACACTAATCATCGAGTGGTTCACTAAGCACTATGCGTGTGGAGAGCACTAAAATGGTGTAGCAACACCCTTGATATATTTTCTCACTCCTCCACACCTCAAATGGCCAGTTGGGGGTCATATATATAGCCCCATCTTGAAACTAGACGTTGGAGGCTGAACTTCAGCCTCTATGTATACACCGGACACGTTCGGTGAAGCTATGCAAAGTTCAGCTAGGCGCTAGGTGGAATCTAGGCGCTGACCCATTGCCTAGCGCCTAGTCGGGAGTACTCGGTACTAGGCGCTCCTAGGCGTTTTCCTAGGCGTTTTGGCAATATAGCCATAAATTATATATATATTATGTATATAACTATATATATGTATATAACTACTATATATGAGTCACAGTAAGTATAAAAAGAGGGACAGTAGACATATCTGATTCCTAGCTGGCTTACTCTTGCATGTTCCTACTTCCTAGCTCCTGCAACACATTTTGACAGCTAGTAGTTAGTAAATTAGTCAATAGACAGCTAGCTGTTCATAAAAAAAAAGAAAACACTAAGTTGTGACTTATCTGGATGATTTCAGCAGCCTCCCATCCATGAGCACACCATATCAGCAGCTGGTAATTACAATACAAGTGGATAGGACAGTAATACAAGTGCACAACACAATTTATAAATAAAGGACAGCACAAGCACATAGTTCTTAGTTCAGGTCTCACAAATCACAAAAGAAGACCAGGGCATCACAAAAGGCTTCACTACTAGATGGAGATGGTCCAGATCATATTTCTTCTTCACTATAGTACACATCCCCATCGTCATACTCTTCTTCTTCAGACTCAAATTCTTCTCCTTCATAGAGCTCCCTCACTCTTGCACTTCTACGCAGCTCAAGCTATTCATCTGCTCCCACTGCCTCTCCAATGATAGACCAAGGTATCCCTGTACCTTCCATCTCATCTTCCTCCCCATCTCTAAAGTCAGCTAATGCATAATCATCCCCACCCTCTTGGAGAAAACCTTGAGCTTCAGTTGTATCACTAGACAAGAGAACATCAGTGATTTTGTTTGACTTGATCTTTTCTCTCTTACTAAGCAGCTTGGAGTTGAATTGGATATACACCAGCTTGTTGAGGCGGGTTGTAGTAAACCTATTCCTATTCTTAGTGTGTATCTACAATTTAAAAAGAGCATTCTTAGTTCTACAATTTAATTGTAATGCTGCTGAAACTGAAATGTTCATAATAGATAGGTACTAACCCCTTCAAACTCACTCCAATTTCTTTCACAACCAGAAGAGCTTGATGTCAAAGATAGGATCCTTGTAGCCATCTTCTGTAAAACTGGTGTTTCATATCCATACAGTCTCCACCATGATGCTGAAATAAAAAAACACCTCTATTAGTTTAGAAAACAGCAAACAACAAACAGCCATGAGCCATAGGAAGTACCTCTACCTGGGTTGTAATCAAAGTTTTCAAAATTCCTAGCAAGCTTCTTGCTAAAGGGTCCTTCTCTATTCTGAAACTTCTTTAGTTGGCAGCCATATGCTGCATGTCCTCATCATGATAAAAAAAATTTCTCAACACAAGATATAAACCCTTCTGATATTTTGGGCTGATCAAATATTGATGGGTCACTATAGCTATAGTGAGGATTTAGCAAATAGGCTGTCAAATGCAATGGAGAATCAAGTCTTCCATTCATCTTCTTGTCAATAACAGCTATTACATCCTTGAACCGAGCCTCAACATTTCCAAAGGCCTCTTTGATATGTCTCTTTGTCTTTAGTAGTTCTCCATAAAGGAAACCCATGGATGGCCTCACATCCCCATCAACTAAACGAAGGACTTTGACCAATGGCTCAAAAATAGTCAATGTTAGCTTCACATCCTTCCAAAAGCTTGGACTCAATATAGTTGTTGTTGCCTCTTTTCCTTTCTTTGATTTCACATCCTTCAATGAGTCCCACCTACTATGAACCACCATCTTCCTTAACTGGTCCTTCTTCTCTTGCATGCTACTCAAAGTGAGAAAGTTTGAAGCAAATCTAGTCACTCCTGGCCTCACTACCTCTTTCCCCTCTGTGAAGTATCTCAAGCACTCCAATGTCCTTGTGTGGCCATAGACAAATATGGTAAATGCCTTTGCTTGGTCAACCACTTTCTTGAACCGAGTCAAGTTGCCAATTCCTTGGAGCATAAGGTTGATTGTGTGAGCTGCACAAGAGGTCCAAAATATGTGTGGTCTCTTCTCTTCCAATAGCCTCTTTGCTCCCATGTTATTAGAGGCATTGTCACCACTACTTGCACCACATTGTCGGACCAATCTCTTCAATTGCTTTGTCCACAAGATCAAAGATGACCTCACTGGTATGTGAGACATGTGACATCTCCTTAGAGCTGATGAAGGAGGTTCCATCAAGACAATTGGTGCATGATTCATTATGCTTCTCCTCTTCCTATCTCGACCAAGCATCACATAATAGAACATCCATTTTCATCTTCTCGGATTCACGCTCCTGCAGCAAACTCTTGGTTCTTTCATATTCTTCTTCCAAAGAACTTCCTCGCAGGTGCATCCTGAGTTGGAGGTACAAGTCCTGGACCAAATCATCCAATTGCTTCACACATTTGCTTGAACTCATCATTATCACATGCATTGAAAGCAATTCCACCAACACAACATTGAAAGAAGCATAATTAGTGTTCAGTACAGGAAAACAACATCTAATGAACTTTGAAATGTAAAAACAACATAGTATACTAGCAATTTACCATGTGTATAGGCCCATCTTGCAATGTACTTATGCACCTCATTGGTTCTTTCTTTCCAAAGTTCCTTGTTTAGCTGCTGTTGCTTCAAAGAATCAGACTTGGTAGCTTTAGGATCAATAGCACGTGTCCATTTGTCAATGGGTCCTAATTTGTGGGGCTCTGAACTTCCAGCACAGCTGACTTCATCTGAATATGTTCCAACCCTAGATACATGAACTTCCTCTCTAATTTCTAGCTCATGAACAGTCTCCTCCTCCCTCTTCCTTTTTGCATCCGCTAGTGCCTTCTTGCACTTCTCTTTAGCCTCCATAGCCTGTGGTGTTCTTGCTGTGCATTTCTTCACATTCTTTCCTTCATGAGCCAAATGCTCCTTCAACCTATGAATCCCTCCTCTCATCTCCTTGTCACAGAGCTTGCACTTCACCTTGTCCTTGTTGCTAGCATCAACAAGAACACCATATTCCCATCCAACATCATCTGAGTTCCTTTTTAGGAGATTAGTTGCCTTAGTTCCTATTGCATCTGGTGCAGAAACACCTTGTTCTGTCGACATCCTACATTCAAATTCAAGAGTTGAATCAAGCTCAAAGAGACAGGCAAGCACTAGTATCACTCAAATGTTAACGATTAATCATTGTAATAGAAGCTTTAATGTTAACATGTTTACAATCAACTGTGAAGAAAATGACAGAGCAGTCATCAGATGGAATACCAGGGGCAGAGCCAATTGCCTCACTTACAAAGAACATTGATCACAACAATTTGTCAAGTTTTGCTCTCCATGTCTGTTTTCAGTGTTGCCTGATTACTTAATGGTTACTATTACTTGTAACAAGGCTGCACAAGCTGTTTAATGGTTACTATTACTTATGAAGCATGTGCCTCTTACCATGCCAACTTCAATCATACAGTCAGTGGAACATCAGCATCACTATAGCAGTAGAGTTATGAAGGAACTTTGTCATTCACCAACTCACAATTGCAACATGTTTTGTAGAATGAACACATCCTTACAAAGGTACAAGTCTTAATAGAAGCTTTTGCTTAATGACTTCAGGTGAGTAACAGTTTTTACAGTAAACTTTTGTTGATTATTCACCTTTCGCAAATCAATTCTTAATTTCAACAGATTAGCATGTTTCATAGACATGGAATGGAGAAGATCTACCTCCCACCGATACTAAAGCTATTAGGGATATATGTGTACTTGCACTGGGGTGATGTTGTTTTTGCATCACCGCCGTGAAGTTGTCTCTTCGGTCGAGAAAGAAAGAGAGCATGCAGGGGGAGATGAGCGGGGAGGAGCTGCCGGCATGGGAGGGGAGAGGAGCATGGGAGGGAAGGGAGCTCACCTTGGGGACTTGGGGTGGCCGGCGGGGAGGGGTTCCAGTCGAGGACGAGCAGGACGGGCGGCCGAAGTCGACGACGAAGCAGGGACAAGCCGGCCATGAAGTCGGGGACGAGCAGCGAGGCAGGGAGGAGCAGGACAGGGGGAGGAGAAGGACCGGTGGGAGGAGGCAGGATCAAGGGGGCAGAGGAGGAGGAGGGGAGGAGCAGAGGACGAGTAGGGGACGAGCTTGGATGAGCAGAGGAGGAGCAGGACCAGCGGGAGGAGCAGGCCACGCTCCCTTCTAATCCTCCCGCGCTTGGGTCTCGTGGCCGCGCGGGAATTCCTCCCGCGCTCTGATTTGGCGCGCCAAACTCGAGCTCGCGCTCTTCTCGCGCGCCTCCGCGCCGCGTCCGCGCCCGCGCCGCCTAGCGTCGCGATGCGCGCCTATGCCTCTAGTCACGGCGACGGGCTTCGCCCAGCGACTAGGCGCGTGTAGTCGCCGACTAGGCGCCGCCTAGCCGAACTTTGAAGCCATGTCACCGTTGGAGTACTGTAGACATTTGGTGTATGCATACGGTCTATATCAGACACATCCGGTGTACGCATATGGTCTACAAATCACTTTGAAACCTTTCTAGAACCCCAATCCAGTGCACCCATCCGGTGCTTCACCGTAGACGTCATAGGCGTCCGGTGTGTCCCCTACGCATACACCGAACACGCCCGATGCTGCAGTTGCAGCTACACGTAGATTCTTCGCAAGTCATCGTTCGGGTTTCTTTACACCTTGTGTCTTGGACTCTTACTTGTATTTGTAGGTCTTTAACATGTCTTCTAATGTTATACTTGAGGTGTTGATCATCCGGATCACCACATCGCCTAAGTCAAAGTCCATTTTGCATCCTTTGAACTATATCCAAAAACACTAGCAACCAACATTAGTCCAAATGATCATGTTGATCATCAAACACCAAAATTCAAACTAAATGGGCCAAGGGTCCATTTTCCTTACAATGTGTAGAGGCATTGTATCGGTGTCAGCGAGGCCAAGGTGACCGAAACCCGGGTGTTGGTTGGAAGTGAGACTTAGTGACTCGAGCCTCCTTTGATTTGTCATCCAACACCATAACCGTTTTGGATGACAAAGGTGTCAATGGTGAGACTCACATGATTCGCAACGGTGTCTTTGATTGGGTGGAATCCAACACCAAGATCGAAACAAACGAGTGGAGTAGGGAGACTTTGTGACTCCATTGCCTTTAGTTGGTAGCAAACATCGTGAGCGGAAGAGACATGGTGTCCGGGAGCATACCTCGATGGAACTCCAACGTAGCTAGGGGTTGCGTTTTGGCGATCAATACTACGAGATAAATCCGGTTGCCTCTTGGCCTTCTTTATGTCTTGCTTACTTATTTGTTCTAGCTTATAAGTTAGTGCTAGTTTGTGTGCAAGAACTTTGTGTGTGACAACTAGGATTGCATGCTAGAGTGTGCTTAGCTTAGCTACGTGGCTTAATTCCACAACTAAGGACAATATCTTAGTGTGCCCTTTGTTATAAGGACCTGATATTAGTGTGAATCTTTTGAGTCCTTGTGAAAGAACCACCAATGGGGTTGATAGTTTTGCATAGGCTAAGGTTTTGTCACTTCAATTTTTTAGAGCCTCAATTCATTTCCTTTCTGGAGCCAGTCGCTCCTTACACTCCCAAAATATGCTGGGAATAATGTATTAGGTACAACAGGGACTATTTGCTTTCCTATAAATATGGTATTTGTAATAGTTGTATACAAGAAGAAACGAATGATACTGGTCCCGTTTGCTTGGCTAATAAGTCATGGCTGAAAGTATTGTTGGCTGATTTGTTATGAGAGACAAATAATATTCGTCATTTGGAAAAGTATAGATTATAAGACAAACAAACATGACCACTATTTGCTATTTATCATAGAGTTCTAGTTTCGCAGACCCGTGGGCCTCCGAGCCTCAGGAAAGGAAGTATCAGCACCATTATATATGTATGTGCACCTCTCCAGTTAGAAAAGATAATTGTTTTTAGACTCCAGCTGAGACCTGAGAATGAGAAAGTGACGTTTTGGCTGCTTTATAAATTATAATCTTACTATCTAAGGTTTGACCCTTTCACACACGCTAGCTTTTGTGCCCCAAATCGCCCGCTACTGCAACGAGATTACTTGAGAAGCATCCACCTACCGTCTTCAGGCACGTCGGAGTCGCCAACGCCGCGGAACTGTACACGGCACAGGGGTTCAGGATGCTTCGGCGTAAAAGCCAGAAACTTCCCGTTAAGTGTGATGCAACTGGTGGCCAGGAGGTACAAGATAGGGGATAAATAAATCAATTAATATGAAATTATTTGAAACCGGCAAAAAAAACGCACCAACCCGTAGAAGTCAGATTGTTCATGCATAGTCATGATTTCTTTTACCTTTAGCTAACGCCCACTGTAAAACACAAGAGTTACGCAGCAATTATATAGGAGTTTTTGTAGAAAACGATACATTTTAACAAGAAAAATATATCACGTTTCAATTGGAGCCTAAGATAGATAACGCAATTCTCGTTTTTCGAGAAACCAAACAATTTAAACTTTGACTAAATTTATATAAAAAAGTACTAACAGTCGTGATATAAAATAAGTATTATTAGATTAGTTATAAAATATATTTTTATAGTAAAATTATTTAGAGATATAAATGTTAATACTATTTAGTATAAAGTTGGTCAAACATAAGTCAGCTTTGACCGGCTCGGTTTCCACAATTGCATTCTTTTGGGGAAATAGGTAGTAATATATAAGCATTATAGCTGCTCCCACCCGCCTCCGTTACAAAATATAAAGTTTATTCTAAATTAAACTTCTCTACTCTTAACTGGTTTTTTTTAAAAACACATATATTTACATCCTGCGGGTTCGCGAGAAACACACCTGCATCCCTTCGTAGCTACAAGAACAAATAACCTGCATCCCTATGGCGAATGACGAATGTACAGCTGATGTAACCCTTTTTAATTTTTTGAAAGGTGTAACTTTATGCTCAATCGGCGGGAAGAGGGTGAAGACTATTCGCGCGCTCAAGTAATGGAAAAGTAAAAAAGGGTGACCTTTAACATTTTACTGGGTCTTTTTTCTGTTGGCAGGTGTGAACCCTTGGACGCCATTTTTTCTTTGTTATTAGTATCTAGTACTAATGCTTCGTCTTCGAGTTGATAGCTAGATGGTCGATGTGACGACTGCTCTCGCTTATTCTCGCGAACGTGGCTGCTCTCCAGTCCAGGATCGAAAGTTAGCAGCGCGTATAGACTAGTCTAACTAGACCATTTCCCTGTGACTTTAAAAATGGACACTACTAGGATGGTTTCCATCAAGCTTTCATTTGCTTTCCATCCTGTTTTCCTCTTGTACCTCACGCTATAAGTATTAGTCAATCAAATCAACCTGTGCTTCGGTATGGACTTGAATTTTGAAAACCATAAACATTAGGTGTTCATGTTTAATACCTACAACTAAAAAATTACATATATCAAATTGCTGAGAGATTGCATCATCATCATCAAGGTTTCGTTCTCTCCTTTTTCTGCACCCCGGTAACCTGAAACCGTGTCCCAACTTTTGATAAAGGGTATATGGATCTTCCTCGGCCAAGCATCGTCAACCCACATGACAAAGTCATATGTTTCATCTTCATCCTGTCGTTATCAATGAAGGCAGAACGACGACAATAGCATCAATACCATGACGTACAAAACGAAGAACGGATCATTGACCTCTTGCGCGCAGGACCCCAACACTTCCTTAGGCATTGCAGTAGCATCATGCCTACGGCGCAGCACCCTTGCTTAACTAATGCTGGCCCAATCCGACTTGGTAAGGAGGGACATCAATTTCAGATTTAAACTACTCAATCCGTTCCAAATTATAAGACGTTTTAATTTTATAGATACATTACTTTTACTATGTACCTAGACTTGTCTAGTGTATATCTATGTGCATAGTAAATACAACGTATCTAAAAAAGAGTCAAAATGTCTTATAATTTAGAACGAAGAAAGTAATAAAAATGCATCAAATTGAACCATCATTCTGCATTATTATCCAGCAGATTCAACCTAAATCGAACTAACCCTAGGAGGCGGAGGGACATGGACAACTCACCAAAATCGGTTGAAGAAGACTAGTTGACATCGTTTATCGCATCCAAGCT